AATAAAGTGTTGGGAATTTTATGGATACAAATATACAATAAATACACACAAAATATGTCTATGTATGTGTGTGTGTTTTTGTATTGATATTCAAAGGGACCACATTAATCTGCATATGTGTGAGTGTGTGAACGTACGACAAAAATGATTGTTTTGTTCGTTTCAATTCTATATCTAGAATGCAATACAATATATAACAACAAAAACAAAAGCAACAACAACAAATGAAGATTCCACATTGCGTAATTATATTTCATCGATTTAAGGACAATGACTAGGACGAGGTCATTTGCTGGTAAATGAGTGAATGAATGAATGCATGGATGGCATTACCGAATAATTTGTTCATGCACAGCAAATGTTGCGCAGAGCGAAAGTTGTGGCGTATACGTAACACAGCGTAATGCAGGCGTAATACTCATACGCCATGGATGATTGGTAAAATGGTTGACTGGCCGGGTGCTGTTGTTGGCTTTTACATTAAATATTATTAATCAGCAAATATTCGAATATCCTCTGGTAATTTGTTACCCCAAGTGACCTACTACCAGCCGCATTACTGTCCGTTCTATCTACCCATTTCCACTAATTGAACTAAATTAAAAGCAATTTGATTTCATTTAAAAATGCAATAAATCACAGCAAACAAAAATACGCACGAAGTACACAAAATCTCTTCGTAATAGTTTTTGAAGTCATGCCAATTTTTTTTGCGTAACTTTCTGAAATGGGATTAAATGAAATGTTAAAGGTATATGATTATGGAGTATACATTCTCAAATGGTTACCTTGTAATTTTTTATGGAGATCCATAATGGATTTCGGATAAATTAAAAGAAGCTTAAGGTACATCATTTTTAATTTTAATTTGTAGGTCATTGCAGGTTTTTGGCTAAAGGCCAATTTCGAATTTGTGAAATGGAAATCTTTATTGCTTTTTCTCAGATTACAATAACGCCAGGCGAAGGGTTTCTGTTTATGAAAGTTTCAAAGAAGCAATATAAAATCTGTGGTCTACAGAAGCTCTCAAGGATTTATTGGGTTTGGCCAATTACAATAGAATTTAGGCAAAAAACTATTTCGTTTCTTTGGGAGCACAGAAGATGTAGAAAATCTCAAGAAACATGGGTTCTGTCTAAAAACCACCAGAAGAAAATCTTTATAATTTCCTATGGCTAGAGACGAGCTGTTGTATATAGAAGACCAACAAATGGGCTCCTATTTATATATAATCAGAAGAAGTTATCTGTCAATAAAAGATCTGTAAGAGGTATTCTGTCCAGATAGACTTCTGTTTATAAATAATCACCAGAGGTTATATGTTCATGGACGGTCTATAGAAAGTTTTCTGTCCATAAAACGGGTCTTCTGTCCAGATTGATTTTTTTTATAAATGATCAGCCGATGTTATCTGTCCCTGGATGATCTGTAGAAGGTCTTCTTTTCAGAAAATACCTCTGGAAGGCTATCTGGCTATATAAAGTTATGGAATTATGTTTATAACTAAACAGAATAGGTTATCTTCCAATAGAAGATCTGTGCAAGGTTTTCGGTCATTAAAATGCTTCTCGAAGGTTATCTGCATCTTATAATGTCGTTCGGCCATGGAGGATAATTCGACCTCCAAAAGGTAATTTGTCTGTAAAAAGATATTCTATCCATAAAATTATTGAAGGTCGTCCAAAAGGTAATTTGTCTGTAAAAAGATATTCTGTCCATAAAATTATTGAAGATCGTCGCTCTAAAGGAAATCTCATGAAGGACATGTGACCTTCCCAAGAATTCGTAGAAAGGACATTTTGTTATTCAAGCTTCTTTTCGTTCTAAAGAAAGTACACGACGGACATGTGACCTTGCAAAGATTTTGGGAAAAGAAAATTTTATTATTGAATTTTATCTAATTAAAAGAATACCCATCTTTCGGATCTATTAAAGCTCCGATGAAACTAACAAAAGAAGATTTTTAGTAGGATTTTTGTAATCTTAACAAAAGGCTTCATCCAATAAAAGACCGACTTTATTCTACAGGAATGTACGATTATTATCTATAAAACCCTGAGGCCTTCGGTCGATAGTACCCGAAGAAGATATTCTGTCTATAATAAATCTGACAAATGTCTTTAGTAAAAAAAACAGTAGAAGACCATCTATCTTTAGGCGACCTGGAGTGGTATTTATAGAAGTACTGAAGTCGCTATTCTGTCTATAAAATATCAATGAATGCTCTTCGAACCAGAAAAAGGATTTTCGGTATATAAAAGACCTGAAAAAGATATTCACTTATAAAAGTTCTGAGGTAGCTAATTGGACAACAAAATACTAGGATAGCAACTTCTGTCTAAAAGCAGGCCTTGGAAGACCCGTAAAAGGCTATAGAAGACCCATAAAGGCTTTTGATCTACTGAACATCCTTAGAAATCTTATCCATGTATGAAATTCGGAAATAATACCATATGGTTAAAGAGTATTTCCATTTTAAGGAAAAATTTGTATATAAAGTAAACATATCAGAAGCATAATGACATACAAAAGACGTGCCTTGTTCTTCTCGAAGATCCATAGAAAACCTAAAAAACTGTCTATTTTGGAGGATGTTAATAAAATACTTGAGCTCTTCTGTTCATAAGGAATCCCTAAACAATCGTCTGTATAATATATCCAAAAAACGTTTCTTCGATAGGTATTTGGTGCAATAGACCAGGATACGAAGTTTTGTCTATATGTGGCCTACAAAAGCCTACCGTTTATAGACGACCTGCGAAGAGGCTTCAACCAGTCAATGACCCACTTTATTCTTAGTTATATCTATAAAAACCGGAGGTCTTTTGTCTATGATAGTTTTGAGGGGAATGTCGTTAGTAAAAAAGAATAAGACATTCTGTATGTAGGCGACCTGGCCTGGTGTTTCTAGAAGAACTGAAGTTGGTATTATGTTTATCGAATATATGTGAAAGGTCTTCGAACCAGAATAAGGATCTTCGTTATAAAAAAAGACCTGCAAAAGATATTATACTTATAAAAGTTCTGAGAAAAGTATTTGAACAACAAATTATTAGGATAACAACCTCAGTCTAAAAGCAGGCCTTATCCAGGCCTTGCAAGACCCGCAAGAGGCTATAGAAGACCCATAAAAACTTACGATCTACTGAATACCTTACCCAAGTATGAACTTCTGTCTATAGATGACCGTTTATAGAGGACCTGCTGTTTATAGAGGACCTGGAAGAACTTAAGCCAATAAAAGACCGACTTTATTCTTATTTTTATCTATAAAAACCTGAGGTCTTTTCCCGATACAAGCCGATGAAGGTATTTTGTCTATGATAGTTTTGAGGGGATTGTCGTTAGTAAAAAAAGTATAAAACATTCTGTATGTAGGCGACCTGGCCTAGTGTTTCTAGAAGAACTGAAGCCTGTATTATGTTTATAGAATATATGTGAAAGGTCTTCGAACCGAAAAAATAATCTTAGGTATATAAATGACCTGAAAAAGATATTCTACTTATAAAATTTCTGAGGTAGCTAATTGGACAAAAAAAAAAAAAAAGCTAGGATAAAAACTTCTGCCTGAAAGCAGGCCTCATTCAGGCCTCAAAAAGACCCATAAGAGGCTATAGCAGACCCATAATAGGATGTCTATCTACTGAATACCTTTAGAAATCCTTACACATGTATGAGTTTCTGTCTATAGATGACCGAAATAATGCCATATGGTTATAGGGGACAAAATATATGGTTATAGGGGACACAGTAAAAATATCACGGAAATAATGGCATACAAAAGACCTGCCTTATTTTTCCCGAAGATACATAGAACAACAAAGGATCATTTGTTGTTTTTGTTGTTGTTTGGTCTTCTGCCCATAGATTACATGTAGGCCTGTAAGAAGATATTCTCCCGATAATGGTCTCTTTGTTATGCCCTCCTTCAAGTTATAAATTTTTTCATACAAAGAATTAGGTTATGTTGAATAGATGGCTGGATGATACCACCACATGTCCAACATGAAATGGACATACACATAAGCCAATTGAGGCCTGTTGTGCGCTCTAGTAATGTAGGGAAAGTTAGAATTAGTGAAAGTTTAGATTTAAAAACATTCGGGTTGGATTTCCATATGAAGCCTAGGAATTCCGTGTTTTTTTGTGAACTCCTTAAGTCTTCTCCATTCACACCCCCTCAGATCGGTTAGTCTGTGAAGAGTGTCAAACAAATTATTTTTGCATGGAAAATGTCATTTTGAACCAGCGAGGCCTTCGCCCCAATTTAAAATCCCGTGTACGTTAGTGTCATCCACCATAATGTGAAGGATATTTTAATTTCTTGATTATGTTTGTAAAATTTTAAAATAATCACCGGAGACCTCAAAAAATATATATTTTTGATCTGAAGAATATTTTATGTGGATTCAGCGCTGTCCGTCTCTATTTCGTCGCTACTACCTCTAGGATGTGTGCGCTGTCCGTCTCTATTTCGTCGCTACTACCACTAGGATGTTGGTATAAGAAATCAAATATATTAGGAATTTGGCATAAGGGTTTCAACCGAAATTTCATGTTTTCCATTGGGTAGCAAATTTTCCCATCAACAAATATCAATAGTACTTCCGAAGTTTTCTTTTTTAAATTTTGGTTTCACGTTTTTCTATCCAAATATGGTAATTTATATTTCAATTTATTTAATACTTAAACATTTATAAATTTAGTTTTTTTGATGGGGGGTTTAAAATAATTGTCCTAAACTAAGGACCTGTTGGAAGTTTTTTTTAGTTGCCAACAAAAGTTTTTTTATATTTTCAATAACCCATCTCACATTATGAATTTATCAATTTTGTTTACATCTCCATACGACCCATATCCTTTGAGACACCATTGAAATTGTATTTCAATCCCTGACACATGTTGGAGTTACGTCGGCTATGTAACCCTCCCAACCCCATTTTCATTGTAATATCTCAAAATGGAAAAAAAATCTTCAAGAAAACAAAATTTCTACTTACCATTTTGCATGGCAACACTTTTATCTTCGACACGACTAACATAACAGCACAGCTCATCTTGACGTTCGGCGTTTTCAATAAGTTCGGCCTCGACAGAGAAGCCCCACATTTGTTCCAATGTGGTGCGATGCAGTTCGACTTGGTAAAGGATCTTCATGCAGACTTCGACAAATTCGTGATTATGTAGCTGTAAAGAAAAGAAAAAAAAACAACACCCCCAGAGGGAAGCCGGTGGGGGAGGAGTAGAGAAGATGAGTTAGTAAAACCCGTATATAAATAATACATTTGCTAACAAAATAAAAACGTAGAAACGTGGTTGAATTTGAAAAACCAATTTAAGGGCAGATGCAAACAAATATGTGCACGGATAGACACACACGCACACTCTCAGCCATTTCCACTACACTAATACCCTTGAAAATACGAAATTACATTACATGTCATATGACAGACAACATCTAGAAAAAAAGATGTGGAAAATGGCAGTGTTGAACGTGTTACAAAATTGCAAAAGGTAAACAGCTAACAAATGCAGCTCAACGGTATATAGAGCTACTGTCTCATTCTCATTTAATAAAATCACGTCGTACAAAAACACACACACACACTAACACACAATCATCCTTGTCATTATCGTCATTATCAACCATGCCACCATTATCCTGCCACCATGTGCAATGCCATACAATGACGGGTATTAACGAAAGGAGTATTTGTAATTTCGTGTCTCGTATTAGTAGCAGCATTTGTTGTTGTATACAACTAACACCACTTCATCTACACTGCTACCTGCCACGACACCAATAACAACAACATCAATTAACTCAATGAGCTTAAAATTAAATGTATTTTTCTTGTTACGGTTCGCCTTTTGTTGTGGCTACAAAAGGTGTTGTTCGAATTAGTTGCACTTTTTCAAACTTGAACACAATAATGTTATTAATATTTTTTTGGGAGGGACGAGAGAGAGGGGTAAGGGAATTAGGAAAAATTGTATAATAGAAAATTAACACATTGGATTTTGATTTGATATGTACTGCGGAATATGAAGGTAGATTGGAAATCCGTTTTTAATCTGCAACACAAGCTTTGTGGATTTCTAAACGAAATTGCAAGGATCATTGGAAGCGGTAAATTTTATAATTAATATTTATTGAAGGGACACTGTAAGCGTGTATTTTTATACCCTTCACCACACTGTGGTACAGGGTATTATGTCTTTGTGCATATGTTTGTAACAGGCAAAAGGAAACGAGATAGACATATGGTTCCTTTTGAGAATAAGCATAGGAACACTTTTTAAATCGATGTATGTCCGTCCGTCCATTTATTTTTGTTAACAGGTAGCATTTGTGATGAAATTTGGCACAGTTCACTTATTTGGCCCAAGGACGAACTCTATTGAAATTGGGAAAAAATCGGTTCAGATTTAGATATAGCTCCCATATATAGTTTCGTCCGATTTTAGGTAAATAGTGCACCAAAGTCCCTATATATCCTTCGATTTGCACGAAATTTGGCATAGCGTACTGAATTAAGTCTAGAAAGATGTGTGTAAAATTTCGTGAAAATCGGTTCAGATTCAGATAAAGCTCCCATATATATTTTCGTCCGATTTAATGTAAATGGTATACCAAAGCCCCTAAATGTCTTTCGATTTGCACGACATTTTTCATAGTGTACTGAATTAAGTCTAGGACGATGTGTGTAAAATTTCGTGAAAATCGGTTCTTATTTAGATATAGCTCCCATATATAGTTTCGCCCGATTTAAGGTAAACGGTGCACCAATGTCCCTACATATCCTTCGATTTGTACAAAATTTGGCACAGCGTACTGAATTATGTCTAGAACGATGTATGTTAAATTTCGTGAAAATCGGTTCAGATTTAGAAATAGCTCCCATATATATATATTCGTCCGATTTTATGTAAATGCTGCACCACAGTCCCTACATATCCTTCGATTTGCACGAAATTTGGCACAGCGTACTGAATTATGTCTAGAACGATATGTGTTAAATTGGTTCAGATTTAGATATAGCTCCCATATATATATATATATATATTCGTCCGATTTTATGTAAATGCTGCACCAAAGTCCCTATATATCCTTCGATTTGCACGAAATTTGGATTTATAAGTAATTGAAGAACTCAAAATGTGGCCGAATGCAAAAAAAAAAAAACATACTGAAACAAATGTGTAACCTAACATGTGGCAAGTTTCGATCGGTTTAGAATTCGATATTTTGCTTTAAATTTATTTACCTAAGTTTGTCCCATTGTAAGAAGCATCTCTATATATGCCTAAAATTTAGTATAGGTTGCAGATTGACAGGATTAATTTCATGTTAATGGTCCTTCAAAATTGCGACTTCTGTTAGGATTCCATCTGTTGGATATACCTAAAGTGGTGAAGAGTATCATATAGTCGGCCCCGTACGACTTTACTACTTTCCTTACTGGTTTTGTATAGGACATTCGTTCCAAAACCAATTTTATGTGTGGGTTTGTTAAAAAACATTTTTTCAAGGATCTCCATAAGTGGGTACTTTTGAAAGGAAACAATTTGGAAAGACCTCTAAATCGCAATTTTTTGATAGAATATTTTTCCAGGGTGTGTGGCGTAGGGGTGTAGACCATTCCCCCATCGGTCAATAACCAAAAAACTATACGTAGATCAAAATTCGTGGTACATTTGTACCCATCCGAAGATAGATCTGTAATTCATTAACAAATTGGACTATCGTGAGGTTTTTGGTTATAAATACCGTCTATACGGATCTGATCTAGATGTATGAGCTCAAAATTATATATACATTAAAATAATATATATTTAAAGCCGTGCTTAAATGATAATCTATCTAAACCTATCATACAACCAGCGAGCGGAGCAGTATAGTCGGACGGGGCCGACCATACGATAACCTACACAACTACAACGGAACTCAAATTTTCTGCGAATGTTTATTCCGAGCCTGGGCAATATTTCGTGATATTTGCACCCTCTTGCCCTATTAGAGGTAAACAGCACCTCTTCCTCACACTGACATATTTTCCGAATATTACAAGTACTCAGTACAGCTATTGTCCAGATTCCCTTCACCGTGGGTTGTGTTGTGATGTTCGGCTTTCATTTGTGGTCTATAGATCGACTCGAAAATAACACAACAAATTAAATTTTCGGTCCACTTCATTCCAAAATTATTATCTGATCATCACCGAAAATTATAGGCGTTGTTCTGGACCATAACTGGAACCTCATGGAACATTTCAAAGCGATCAGCGGAACCTCTAGAGTGATAAAGGGTTACTAAATAATATACGAAACGGATATACCTGTAAATATTTAGTTGTAACTCCCACATCCGAGCACATACAACAATATAATTGGTATTAATTTAAATGTCAACCACTCTTCTTGGATATAATATAAAATTGTTGGATCTCTGTCCTTCAGGGGTAAAGATATACGCTATAGAATACAAATTTTGCCATTTTTCACACAAAAGTCAGGATGCATTTGACCCGCTAAATATTGACCGATCTTTATGAAAACAGGCATGCTTATTCTTTGGCACGATCTCCTTCTTCATGGAAAATTTCACGATGTTCGGGCCATTATTGCGACCCCTGGAGCGACCAGAAAAACCGACAAAAATTTAGTATTTGGTCCATTTCATCCCCTAAATATTAACCTATCTTTCCTAATTTTTAAAGAGTAGTTTTTAAAGCCTTTCTGAGACGTGGATCTCATGTAAGGCGTGGATTTTTAAAGATTATTTTTTTTAAAGCCTTTCTGAGGCGTGGATCTCATGTAAGGCGTGGATTTTTAAACATTATTTTTTAAGCCTTTCTGAGGCGTGGTTCTCATGTAAGGCGTGGATTTTTAAAGATTATTTTTTTAAGCCTTTCTGAGGCGTGGATCTCATGTAAGGCGTGGATTTTTAAAGATTATTTTTTTAAGCCTTTCTGAGGCGTGGATCTCATGTAAGGCGTGGATTTTTAAAGATTATTTTTTTAAGCCTTTCTGAGGCGTGGATCTCATGTAAGGCGTGGATTTTTAAAGATTATTTTTTTAAGCCTTTCTGAGGCGTGGATCTCATGTAAGGCGTGGATTTTTAAAGATTATTTTTTTAAGCCTTTCTGAGGCGTGGATCTCATGTAAGGCGTGATTTTTAAAGATTATTTTTTTAAGCCTTTCTGAGGCGTGGATCTCATGTAAGGCGTGGATTTTTAAAGATTATTTTTTAAGCCTTTCTGAGGCGTGGATCTCATGTAAGGCGTGGATTTTTAAAGATTATTTTTTTAAGCCTTTCTGAGGCGTGGATCTCATGTAAGGCGTGGATTTTTAAAGATTATTTTTTTAAGCCTTTCTGAGGCGTGGATCTCATGTAAGGCGTGGATTTTTAAAGATTATTTTTTTAAGCCTTTCTGAGGCGTGGATCTCATGTAAGGCGTGGATTTTTAAAGATTATTTTTTTAAGCCTTTCTGAGGCGTGGATCTCATGTAAGGCGTGGATTTTTAAAGATTATTTTTTTAAGCCTTTCTGAGGCGTGGATCTCATGTAAGGCGTGGATTTTTAAAGATTATTTTTTTAAGCCTTTCTGAGGCGTGGATCTCATGTAAGGCGTGGATTTTTAAAGATTATTTTTTTAAGCCTTTCTGAGGCGTGGATCTCATGTAAGGCGTGGATTTTTAAAGATTATTTTTTTAAGCCTTTCTGAGGCGTGGATCTCATGTAAGGCGTGGATTTTTAAAGATTATTTTTTTAAGCCTTTCTGAGGCGTGGATCTCATGTAAGGCGTGGATTTTTAAAGATTATTTTTTTAAGCCTTTCTGAGGCGTGGATCTCATGTAAGGCGTGGATTTTTAAAGATTATTTTTTTAAGCCTTTCTGAGGCGTGGATCTCATGTAAGGCGTGGATTTTTAAAGATTATTTTTTTAAGCCTTTCTGAGGCGTGGATCTCATGTAAGGCGTGGATTTTTAAAGATTATTTTTTTAAGCCTTTCTGAGGCGTGGATCTCATGTAAGGCGTGGATTTTTAAAGATTATTTTTTTAAGCCTTTCTGAGGCGTGGATTCATGTAAGGCGTGGATTTTTAAAGATTATTTTTTTAAGCCTTTCTGAGGCGTGGATCTCATGTAAGGCGTGGATTTTTAAAGATTATTTTTTTAAGCCTTT